GGGCTGTCACGTGGCCCATAGGCCTTTTTAGGACATATGTAAAATATTTTCATGTTAAAGAAAAATTGCCTTCTGCATCCCTACAAAAGAAGAGTTTATTTGTCTTCAGTTTTATATGAATTTCACTGAAAACTTTAGCTATTTGCAAACGTGGACAAAATTCCAGAAAAAAATTTATATTTATTCAAAAGAAATGCAGGGAAAGTTAGATCCTTTCATACAGTCAAAGCAGAAAACGTTAATAAATGGTGTAAAATGTATTAAAATTAAATTAATATTTAGATTTGATATACATCGAATTTGGTACATAATACGAGGGGGTGCCAAACCATTTTTTGAAATCTGACCAAAGTTCATTTTTTGTGGAAGTTGGAATTCTTTCTTGGTTGCTCCAAGAAATTATCGGAACTTATTAGTAGTGGCATGAAACGAGAAATTGTTAAGCCGGAATCTAATTCCAGTCGAGTTCATTACATTCGGTTTTATGCCTTTAAGAAATGTATGAATCCATTTTTTCTTCTGTCAGCGACATTCTCGGATAAAAATTATGGAATAAGCTTTATCAATGAAAACCAAAAATGGAATCTTGCTGTCATATTTATATAGTCTATGTAGTCTTGTAGGGTAAGGCTATTCTTCACTTTGTAGTCTCTCTCTCTCTCCAGAAAGTAAACAACTAGTGGTAAGAGAAATTTGTTCAGATGTGTATTATTAGGGACGTGTGAGTAGTGTAACAGTTAAGTTTTGAAATGATGTTTACTGGAAAAGAATCTTTGAAGTACTATTTAAAATGATAACTTAAGAGTTTTAGAAGGTAGCAGGTGAGAAACGTTGTTTTCATTGTCTTCTGATGTTTGTTTTTGACATTTTCTTTTTTGCAGAACCGAATCCAGATTTTCCAGAATTCCCAACCGCACTCCATTTTGCGTCCAAACACGGAATGATTGATGTTCTAAAACATTTGCTGGATCTTCCTGGGGCCAACGAAGCACTGGCCATAAAAAACAATAACAACATGAATTGCTTAGACATAGCTAAGGACTCGAAACATTCTAGCTTATTAGTTCCCCTTTTGGAGGAACATTTTGAAGTGAGTTCTTTGGCTTTCTTAATTCTTTTATTTTCTTACGTTTTAGAGTAACGTAGACATAATACATTTAATATCGTTTAGTGGTCAAAGAAAAGTGTCTCTCCTATTCAGTGGCTAAAAAAGAAAAAAAAACAAAATTGTTGAATCAGATAACTTAGTGATATATCCCGAAAAGGGATATATTTGTTCGAAGTAGCAAAGTGGTTTTGGACTACTGTAACCGAGTAGAACAATCTAGCAGGTAACCGTAATGGACTGGTCCTCGTCGTAGTGGTAGGCAATAGGCGTAGGCAATAGGCGTCCCTTGTACCTTCACATCAGTCTGTATTTATGGCTGACACCAACCAATCATATTACTGTGAGGGGGGGATCCAGGTGTATGCATATTCATTACATCACTAAGTACACGTTGTCAGGTGCTGATGTACATTTAATCATAAGCCACTTTGATTGACCAAGCCGACTCAGCTCTGCAGGTCACAGCATTTTGCTGGTTTAGCCAATATATATCGCACTGGCCGCAGTGCCTTCGCAAGTTTTGAATTCAGCGTTTTACGTCTAGACTTCTAGTGGAGTAATGGATAGCGACTCAGATTGAAGAACAGGAGAGTTCGAATTCCAGTCGAGTTCATTATATCCACTTACCCTTGGGGAAGGTATGAACGCATCTTTTTTACCCCCAGTTATGAGTATATAACAAGACAGACTGGGACCTTGTGTGTCAACCTGTCTAGGAGAAGAACAACTGAGGAGGGTTATTTGGGGTACGGACCGAAGGTGACCCGCATCATAATACATAGACCTGGACCAAGCTATCTGAAAGCCCACTGTAAGGATCACAAGGAGGAAGAATTAAATAACACCATGGTGGATCAACAGATCAGCCTGGAGGAGGTTACCTGTTTCTTTGGTGCTCAGACAATTGAAACAGTCGATGGACGGATGTTGAGACTCGTTGCCAAACATAGCTAGTCAATCTAGTCTGCTCTTCTATTGAATCCAGGGCTGGAAGGGTATTTGTACAGAAATAAACATAACCTATTTAAACTTGGCATGACGATGGCATTTTTTGCACCGATAAGAGCTACGCTACAGACTTGCCTGCGCATATATGAATATAATTAGTAAAGCATTCGCTAAGTTTCTGGGCAGAGATTCTGTCTTTTCTGATTTTTCTTGAAGCCAGAATTTGACTAATGGTTTGATATTAAGAAATGCTCTTTCTCGTTTGATATGATTTTAGAATAAAAAAAAATCGTATTTCTTCTTCGGCCCCTTTTTTGCTTTCTATTTTACGCATGCGTAAATTAATAGCTGTCAAATACATTACAGGATTTTGTGTTATTTTAACAAATTCCACTATGAAAGAAAAACTATTCAATATTCAGCTTGTTTATACCACATTTAGAGCATGACCAACAAGATAATTTATATTACATAATGGTTGGTAGCTTACTGAAATAATAAAAGCAAACTACATTTTACCACAATTTACAGTGATTGTAGCATCGAAAATTGTTACTATCTGGTCATATGTGAGATATATTTCAGTCACATTACAAATATGTAGTGTGACTGTGCAGTTTGCAGATAGTGGCTTGGAATGAGAAATCGGAGAGCAGAGTTCGAATCCGAGTTGCTTTCGTTACATATTCTTACACTTAAATACTATTGGAAAAGATACGAATTTATCTTCTTACCCAAGTATGGGGGGAAGGGTAGAACGTGCATCTGGAAGAATTATTGTTATTTTTAATCTAATCGTTAATCCAAATATGTTTCATCCTTAAATAACATCAGTGTTGATATGCTGTAAAAAAACAAATCAATAGCGATAACATGAAATCACTGAAAATGTTTATGATCTATCTATATATATATATATATATATATATATATATATATATATATATATATAAGCATGAATATAAAAGTGAACATTGAGATCAACATTCAGAGGCGACAGGTTGTTTCATGCTAGGCGCAATTGTCAGCATAAAACAGCCTGTTGCCTCTGAGTGTTGACTTCAATGTTCACTTTTATATTTATGTTTACATACGCTCTATCTTTGATATTGAGCACTTTATCCCATAAATATACCACACCTTAAAACTATAATTATATATATATATATATATATATATATATATATATATAGTAATCCTTCTTTTATGCATGTTTCGTAGAATATGACAGACAAGGAACATTTTGTGAGCTTGCTTTATTCAGATAATATGAAATTATTGAAAATGTTTATAATATGGGTATTACTATATATATATATATATATATATATATATATATATATATATATATATATACTTAGTTGAAAGTGCTCAATATTTGTGATAGAGATAACATATTAAGTTGTGTGCATGTTAGTTTGTAACACTGGGTTTCACGTTTTTGCGATCATCAGACAAACAGGTTTTGTCTATATTTCTGAGATGAGGTATTATGGATATTATTTCCATTATTCGGACTAATGTCCTCATCTTTGTGTGGATGGCGGATAAACGCGTTAGTTAGATGCAGTGACAGGACCCAAAGAGTGTGAGTTCAATACTCGGCTAATGCAGTGGAGAACTTGGAGAGGGGAATTAACAGGAGATAACTGATAACTGACGTCCATTAGACATGGCACATGGAACTAGAACAATCTACCCACAGCGAGCGAAATAAAGATGTCAGTTCGACATTCCAACCACCTGAAGAAGGTTGGAGCGTACAAAGGCCGAAACGTTGTAATAAAAATGGCGACAAAGATGAGGACAATAGTCCGAATAATGTAAACAGGTTTTGTCTGATGATCGCAAAAGCGTGAAACCGAGTGTTACAAACTAATATTCATATAACTGAATATATATTTGTGTGTGTGTGTGTGTGTATGTAGGTGTGTGTGTGTGTAAATATTAATATTGTATATTTGGGTAGCAATCCTTCTTTTATGCATGTTTCGTAGAATATGACGGGCAAGGATCTTTTTATGAGTTAGTTTTATTCAGTTTTTCTTGTGTCCTTACAATATTTCTTTATTGTTGTGAGGCGGAATTATTCACAGTGTTTATTCTGCTGAACTCAATGCTTTTGGCTGAAACTTTCGCAGTTTAATAAATCGTGGGGGGGTGTTTTAATATTTGTGGTAACAAAGTATTTTTGTGTGATTTCCTATATTGTGTTATGCAAGATTAATATTAACTTCATTATTGGATTTTTTTCTTTAATTTCGAAAATTATCTTCCTGTTCATTTCTATTCATTATGTCTCTAATTATGACCGTTCATTAATATAATTTTAAAATGATTTAGTGATAACAAAATTAACTATGAACAGCTTGTAAATCGGAAAAAATTAGCAAATAAAAATGAATCCGAGACAGTTATGAAATTAATGAAGTTTAAGCTTCTTTTCCATAAGCTAAAACTGAAGCAACTTTTTTTAATGAGTGAACTTTTCAACAAAATCGATGATATTTTTAAAAGATTATTAAAATAAGCCCATTTAGTGATAGAATCATAAGCCAATGGGTTGAAGTAGTTAATGTTGGCCTTAGAATCTAATACCCATTTCATATGAACTCAATGTTTCCTGTAATTGTTTAAATTTCAAAATGTTCTTGGGGGGCTTGTTGCACCCGAACCCCCAGCTGTTGACTCGTTGAGCTCGCCAGAATCTATTCATAGTTTACGTTTTGGCAATTGGATCCTCAAATCTATTGTTGTTGAAGCTTCAGGTTTCAAAAATTATAGGCGAGCCACTGATCTGAGATCAAACACCAATTTACTCTAAATATTTTAAAGAGACTGATATTTTAAAAATTAAACTAAAAATAAACTTCATAACTTAATCCATTTGAATACTAGAAGCTGGTATGTAGGTTTTGAACCAGCCTTTTTCATATAATTATGGCAATTTATGGGTGATTGGTTAGAACATAAGTGTTTCGATCATGAGACCTGGGTTTGGTTTTCATCATGTTGAATTTATGACGGTGGTAACTTCTTGATAGTATAAGCCTGGTGAGACGATCCCAGCGTGTGGCACTATTGGGATATAGATTAAATGTGACTGGAACAAGCGTCCGAAAAAAAGATTAGCTAGCCACCCGATTAGACAGGTGTATTCAGATATGAACAACCATTCATATTATATTATATTATATTATATTATAGCAATTTACAACGCTTTTTGATATAAATAAATATGCTTGATTTTTTTGCAACCCCACAGCAAAATCTGAATTAAAATAATGATTTTTTTTCGTATCTCTTTTCAGGAGGATTTTTATATAGACATGACTCAAAATAATTCATGTAAGTATGAAAAGTTTCTCTTTTACTTACATTATATTTTTAGTAGAGTTTTGATTTAAAAAAAATTCTTTAAGTCATATTCACTTTCTTCATGTGATATATTTTGGGTTCTATTTGAACACGTTTAGATAATTAAAAATTATTTGAACACGTTTAGATAATGACAAATTAGTATAACTGAAGATTAATGGCGTTGGTCTTCACGGTTGAATAAGAATGATCTTGAACAAAAAAATCATGATTTTCTACCAAGTGTTCCAAGAAGTACAACAAATGATAAACCTTTCCAAAACAGAAACTATAATCTAGCATTGGAATGAAACCAATGATAGTAATTCATAAAATAATATCAAGAATGTGGGATTAATAAATACTAAACACTTCAAATATCTCGGTATATAAATTAGTTATAAAAAAAAATTAGTATAGGAGATGTGGATGTGCGGGTAGTGTAATGGATTCCAGTCGTGTCCGTTACATTCACTTATATACAAATACCATTCGAAAAGGTATGAATCCTCCTATTCCCCTAGCTATGGATTAAGCAGTCGGACTTGTATCTGAAAAAAAACATTAACAATGTTTTTTTTAGATACAAGAATTGTAAGAATAATTCATTTTTTCCGAGTGAAAAAAAAAACGAATTCTTCTTACAATCCAAAATATGTCTAGCTTTAGATAGCCCGCAAAGTGTTGATAATCCATAAAAAAAAATCAATAGTATATGCGATAAAGAAATTGATAAAACTGCACTATGGAGATTTTTTTCCATCACCGCAAGATGCAACAAAGCCAAAGCATTAGCTTAAGAACGGAAACTATGTTCTTAAATATCATCGCTAGAAAAAGACTATCATATCTCGTCCCTTGCGCCCGACTCGTTCAGGAATAACTGTTAGCTGTATACAAACACTTTCTCAGATCAATGATTAAAATGGTTTACAGCGGATGAATCCAGTAGGTGTCAGAAAAGAAACACCTTTCTTCGTACCTCATAGATTAGCACCACAGAATCGCAAGGAATTTTACCCAGTAACAGAAGCCACATCACTTAAAGGCTACCAAATAGTGCGTAGCCTAATCATGAAAAAGTATTTATTTTACGCAATAAATATTTATTTGAAAACATAATCTCCTTCTTTGTTAATGAGCTTAACCCAATGCTTCCTCACAGATCACATAGATCAACCATCATATATTGAACAGTTCACATCAAAATTCATCCCAAAACTGTTCATCAGGCTATCTATTAATTGATTTACTCTCGTATTGATATATGGCTTATCACTGAAGTTATAGTCCGAATAACGTAAATAGTATACATAATACCTCATCTCAGAAATATAGACAAAACCTGTGAAATTTAGCACGACTTAGATTGTTAATTTCAAAGGAAGATTAGATAGAGTAAGCGATTTTAGTTGTGTCGAACTTAGAAAAGTTTAATAAATGAAAGGTTTGTGAAAGCGTACTCCTAAGTCTTGAACTTAAAGAACTTAAACCTATGAAGGGGAGGTTCGAATAAAAGGGTAGGTTGAAAAATTAATACATGATTAATTTTAAAAAAAAAAGAAGAAATCTATACTATCCATCAGGCACCCCGTTTATTTTATTTTCCATTTTTTCCCAACTTGTTTGTTTATTCCAACCTCTTTTCCCTCCTTTTTTTTTGTTCCAAAAAACAAATTTGGAATAAAAGCACTGGTTAGTATAAACAGGCAGTGGAAAATAAGATAAACAGAGCCGGGAATAACAGTGAGTTGGTTGGGAAGTAATCAAAATTGAAATACCAGTCCAGGCCCGTCTATTCGGGATGCAAGTATATAGGCGTCAAGCAAATATTTTCTCATTTTTTTCAAACGTTTTTCTAAAATTTTCTTGCAAGTTTATTTTTTTAATTTTCTTACTGAGGAACGACTGAATTCAGAATTCTTCATTTACTGAAATCACGGAATTAAATGAATTTTTATGGAAATTTTATAATGAAACAAATATTTCCGTATCTTAAACTTTGACTATTTGATTTAATTGTAGATATAGAAATGCTGAGAGATCACAAGCGAAGTAAGTATAATTGGTTTTCTTTACTCATTATACGTCCTAGACAACAGCAAATTTGCCTCTGTTACTTTGTCACACCATCTGTTTAATATTTATTAAAATTCTAATAATTGCTTTTTAAAACAATAAACCTTGTCGGGGAATGAAGGTAGTTAAAATAATAGCGTGCCACGTTGTGAAACAGTCCTTTTGACAGTGTTTTTTTTCCAGTCATGAAGGTCCAAGATTACCGCCAATTCGATCCTTGGATTCTTAAAGTGTTATGAGTACTTTGTTTTTATTTACAAATATCAACTTTGAAACTTACGTCATTGAAAACTGCGTAGTATTACGAATATGGAAAAAGGACACCATCATTAGTACGCATTTACCAATGACGTAAGCATAGTTTATAACTTGACATTTGTAGATAATAAAGTACAAATAACTCTTTAAAAAGTCATGGATCGATTTGACATTAGACTGATATAGGACCACACTTCTAAAAATGATAACATTAATATTCTCCGATTTTGACAAATGCCATGGGCAGAGGGATGTCTAATACAGGCTAATCTACAGCACATATTTCTTCCCTATCCAATTTCTCCTTGAGAGGACTAGTTAAATTAATCGACGTCGATTGTGTGTTGGCTCCAATTATTAAATTGATCTCTGGCTTTCTTTCAGAACTACCTTACTGCGAACAATTGTCTGCACATCTGAAAGGTTTATCCTAAGATCGGTACGTTTTTATCTCGCTATGTTTTCCTCGCATGAACAGGTGGTCATGCATGATGTAATTAATGAATCAAAAGTGTAATTCTGGGAAACGCGAAAACCACCTAAAAACAAAAAAGGACAAAAACGTACAATTTTAGGATGCATAAAAAATGTGTTTGGTTATTAATTTTTCCAGAACTCCTGTGTGACGCCATGAAAGAGGTGTGAGATTTTATCTGGCTGTCAAGTTCTTTGTGTTTTATGACCAGCAATAAATCTATAAGATAGGGTCTGTTGTGGATTCCGGGATGAAATCCGGTCTCAAATGAATGACAAACGCAGGAATGAAATATAGCAAATAAATGTATTGACGTAATAATACAATTGGTAATACGGTTAGTAGATCCAGAAATGCGGTTAGCAATAATAATAATAATATATATATATATATATATATATATATATATATATAGTCTGGGAAATTCAGTATCGAAGTATGACTTCCTTCTGAGTCTACGTGCTCGCAACTGTGACTCCTACAAAGCGGTTACCTCACACTCTCACTATCTCACTGTATCACTGTGTCCCCCTCGGACTGTCTGACTCTGACTTCCGGGTATTCACCGGCAGCAGTACAAGTAGACACTGGGCGAGTCCACTTGTATGAAAAAGGGGTAGACCCCTTAACAGGGTTATCAAAGCGGTTAAGCATTTGACTGAAAGAGAATTTTGCGTTCCAGCCACAACAAACCGGATATTGGTCCTTTTCTGTTGTTGGCCTATATAGAAACGGTGGACAAATAGCGACTCTCTCTCTCTCTATATATATATACTCGACTCTCCCCAGTCGACGTATGACGGTCAAAAGGATCAGTTCCCAGGAAACTGACAGCCTGACAACAGCACATGAGATTTGATTATAGTGGTGAAGGTTTCGTGCAGGACCATCCACACTTTTTGAAGGGCCGAATACAGAGACCTGGTGTACGACGTGCCACAAGGTCCCCAAACGACCCTTTTGGAGGTTTTGAATTCAAAGTTGTCCTTCTCCTAGACAAGTTGACATCCAAGGCTACAGAACCCAGTCTGTCCTGCTATTTACCCATAGCTGGAGGGAGAAGAAGAAAGAGGATTCACACCTTTCCCAAGGGTATTAGCACGTAAGTGAAAGTAATGGATTCGACTGGAATTCGAACTCGGCTCTCCGATTCCTCAATCCAAGCCGCTATACATTACTCCACCGTGCCTATATATAGTTGACTTACAGATAGTCTTTAGATATATACATAAAATAAAAGTTTGTAAAAAAAATATTTTCATGCATTTTAACATCCGTCGGTCTCTTTCGAGAGACCCATGGATATGCCGCTAGGGATTTGTTCTTTATTTCACATGGCCGTGGTAGAGTGACGCCTGTTTTTACCTATCGAGCGCGGGCAATATGACGTTGACTTGTCTATTGCTGGGCACCTGGCTGATAATTGTAATGCTTACAATTTGTTGACATAGTGATTGTGAGTTCAGTCTTGTGTCGGGCAGTGTGTACTTGAACAACGGAATCAGGCACGCAATAACTGGATTGCCTTTTCGACTTACTCCTGAAGCCTGTCTAGTGATTGGATATGGCCTTCACGACAGCAAAATTAAAGATTTCCTCTTAGATAGGATGCCCTTTTGGATTAACAATTTCCATCTAATCGATTTAAACATCTGGCTTCGGCTGGGCAGTTTCTAAATAATATTAAAAGGGGGAGTCCCGAGGGGACTTGAGCAATTTTTCCACGGTATTGCCATTAAACCCACTTTAGACTGACCTTGTATAACATTCGGTAGCGACGTGGGCGCAGTGAAAAATCAACCTACTGCATATTTGCATCAATGCATTTTGATTTCTCTTTGCTTAAAGACAACATCTGATTAATACATATTTTATTCTCCGAAACTTATTCTGAATATATCTGTTAAAAACTTATGGTTAAGCAAAAAATAAAGTCTGAATAATTGGTCAGTAACATAACCTAAGCATATCCGCTAAAAGTGATATTTATTTAATGTTTGACAGAAAATATGTGAATTGCTCTTAAACAATGTCATTATCATCTTTATAAGACGTTAAGATTAAAATAATTTTATACGAGTTAAGTACCTTCCACTTGACTGGCAGCAAGAGAATCATTCAAATCTAAATGTACAATGTTACATTTATTAGAAAATATATCGAAAATACATTGAAAATTACTTCAAAAGCTGTCCATCTCGGCTTGTGTTCTTTTACTGTTGTCCAAGGAGTGTTGCCAGACACAGATATCTAAAGTAAAATATTTGGCAAAGGATTGTATCAAATTTATATAACTGGAAATACCACTACTAATACTACTATTACAACAACAAAACTACTACTACTACTACTACTACTACTACTACTACTAATGATAGCAAATATATTTTGGAAAGGTATTTGTAACCGGGATTCACCTACAAGGTTATGTGCTACTTTTATCAAAACCAATTACTATATCTCGCACATTTGACTGATATATGTGACTCTTATTAAACTGGGTTTCATGATGGGTGCAATATTACTACTACTACTACTACTTCTACTAATACTACTACTAATACTACTACTACTAATAATAATAATACATTTTTGAGGACCATATTTTTTTAAATACGATTTTAGACAATGTTCTTTCTTGAGAAAATAAGTTTTAAAAGATATAGGTTTAAAAACTCGTGTTTTTTTTTTTAAATCATTTCACTCCAAGGAAGGCGATAGTGCCACTAAGACGCAAGAGATTCCTGGGAGTGGAGAAGCATGAGAAAACTTTATTGATGAGAAAGGACAGTAAAAGAACAGTGTACAGGAAGACAGAAGATGGCGATTGATATTGCATTTAAATTTTTGAAGACTTGCCCTTTAAGGATTAAGTCCATAAGCTTACACAGCTGTAACCGGAAAACGAGGGCAATTAGTTACGCGGACTGCGTCCTGTGAATTCTGAAGTGGACGGTCTTCAACTGAAAGCCTGGTGCGGCGTGCGGACATGGTTGAAGCCGCTGAAACCAACCTTTCAGTCCACGCAGCGGCGATTTCCGTAGATAAGCGAGCAGCTGTTCTCGAGGCCATCCGTGAAAGACGTAAAGAAGTCTGTTCAGGGGTTTCTCTCGCCCTTGCTGCTATAGCAGTGGAATCAGCTGCCGTGTGCCCTCCCCAAAGTTTCCTCCTTTTAGGTGGCATCCAAACAGTAAAAACATTAAAGAGGGTAAAGCTTAAAAAGAGATTTCGACAAATCCAAAACGAAAAAACGTGCACTGCTAACGTAGACACAAAAAGGGTAACACCCGGTAAAATGAGTTCAGATGTTACTGAAGGGAAACTCGAAACTAAAAAAGTGGAAATTTAAAAAGGTGAACCAAGGGAAATCCAAAAGGAAATGGGTTTTTAGTACAATTGGCTAATGTGTGTGGTGTTGGGTTTTAACTATAAAACAAAAAAGCAGCTAGAACACGTAATCAACAAATTGCGGTGTCCGAAGTAGGCGAATAAATTAAGCCAAGTGCGTGCACGCGGGCAACAATAAACGCAAAAGTGTGAAAGCACGCCCGAGTCATGCAATAGATGTGGTTGACCTTGAGCGCACTTACACATAGGCTGACGCACGATCAGGCGGCCGCACAGGCCCCAAGATCAAGCTCTGTGAAAGCGACCAATGGGCTTGCAGCAGTCTCGGTATCGACACGCGAACTCGGTTATACGCAGTTGTGTGTGTGTTACAAAAAAGATTGATCCGCGTGCAGCTATGGTTATTTTTGCCGAAAAACTCTGAAATTTGACACACATAAAGGCGATAGTAAGCCGCAAGTGTTCTGTAAATTTCATTTGAATCAAACCAAAACTGTACATACTGTGCCAGTGAATGTGTGTTCAGAGGGCTAAATCCTGTCCCTTGGTACCCCCGTTTATGGTCCACTGGTCAAGAGGCTTTGACAGTCTTGTAAACAATTTGGTACTTGTTAGATAGTCAAGCGTTAGTGCTATCAGAAACTGGACCATTTGCTTTGTTTTGGTGGCTTGGTAACAAAACATCGCCCAAAGACTACAAAAAATCGGCATAAATTGCCCTTACTCGTGCTTTCAAATTGATTTTGTGCAAAAACAATTGTGTTTTTCCAATTTTTGGCGCTGTCAGAACCACCGCCGGGTAATTTTACATAGTCCTATGAAGTTTTGTTGAAATCGGTTGAAAAATGTAGGAAATCCGATCCCATATATAAATGAACTGACACACACACACAACCTGGGTTTTATAATAAATAAGATATTTATATAGTAGGAGCACCAGACTATCAATACCTAATGTATGGTCAAATGGTAGCTTTATAAATGTGAAGATGGGTTGATAAGCCGTAAAAAAACAAATCAATCAGACAATAAATGTGAAACATGGATTATGACGAGGAAAATGTGTAGCATGACACGGTGACCCCACTTTCCTAGCAGAAAACCTAGCAATTGATTCAATATAATTGTCCCAATTCATGTTAGTGGAAAACGTGACGCCATGAAATTTTAAGAGTTGAAGATAGACAGTTGTCGATCTCTAAATTTTACCTCCAAATATTTTATGCATGATGTACGTGCCTGTGTGTATGTGTACGTGTTTTTGCATATGTGTGTAAATTTGACTATTATTTTTTGTTGCTTTTATATTTTTTGTTACTTTTCTTTAATGTGACGTTGTTATCGTTTCTTTCCTTTCAGAGAGTGATCCTCCCGAGATTCCAGAATCATCTTCTGATAAAATAAAATCATGAAATAATCACCAATACCAGCAGAATGACAGCCGAACTGCCAAAATGCTGTAAAAGAAGCTCTTCCTTCGAAAAGCATCGCTTAAAAAACCCGGAAAATATTAAAAAAAAAACAAACCCAAAAACAACTGACATTAAAAGAAAGGGACATTTGTGGAAAATCTTTTCATGAAAATACTATAAAATCATGGAATTAAAAAAAAAAATTCAGCCTTTTCTAAAAATGAAAGTAACACTGTGGTTTTGTGGAATTTCGCCAAAAGAAAAAAAAAAGCTTACAAATGCGTTTGAACACTCATACAAGATGTTGAACATTGCGATTTGCTAAGTGCAAATAGATTTTGATACGAAAGTAAAGCCGAACTTAAAGCAATGTATATTTTATTATTTCTGACATGTCTCGCTAGATCAGTTACAACTGTGTAGCGAGTTCAATCCTCACTGGGTGCTCCATGCTTAGTAAATCGCTATGTAATGGCTGTAACTATCTTTTGTGGAATGTCATCGCTCGATCAATCTTCAAATAAGAATAGTGCTTCCTGTTAGGGTCTTACATAGTCATACTTATATGTGGCAACGTTCGGTATATATATATATATATATATATATATATATATATCAAAGTGTAGAAGAACAAATAGTAAGATTACAGCGTTTAAAAACATTAATTTAAAAACAGTGCTCAATACACAAAGTAGAGCCGTAAATATTTATTTATCTTATGCAGTGTTACATTAGAACATGCACATATCCACTACAAAATTGTACTTTTTTTTTCAATGTCAGAAAAAGGAAAACCTTTTTAGACGTCTCAACAAGTGGGCAATCACGATGTTACTCGATGTAACATCGAGATGTTCTAATGTAACCCTGCATAAGTTATATATATATATATATATATATATGGACAATGAATTACTCCTCCTTGTGTCTATATATTTATTTATTGGAACCCATGCAGATTTACAATATTTGCTATTTTTTGTTTGTTTAACAATTGATATTTCCTGATTCAGCACAGGTATTTAAATATAATTTGGGCTATTTTTTATTTTTTAGAAAAATACTAAATCCGGACCAAAACAAAGACTTAACGCATTTTTTTCCGATACACATAACTTATTAAAATGATATCATTGAAAATCTTCAGCAATAATTTTGGATATATATCTTAAGCAAATTTATAATGGCTGAGAAGATATCAGTATATATATATATATATATATATATATATATATATATATATATATATATATATATATTTGGTGTAAGTGAGGCTCTTAGCGCGATTGTTCTTGTTAGGTATCTCAAAAAAATAAAAAAAAAATAAAAAGAAGAGGCATAGATGATGAAACAAAGGCCCCATACATAATAAAAACAAAATTTTATTTTCAAATCCTTTGTGTTATTATTAAGGTAAAAGATCAAAGGATATATTATGTAAAAATTATTTTTTTAATTCATTTAGAACCGTGGAAATTTTGTTTAAAAAAACACGGGAACATAAATTTGTACGGGGAATTTGAGTGTCTTTTGCGGTGAAAAACACATTGATTTGGGTATTCTTTCAAACATCAGATAATTGTCAGATTTTAATGAAACTTTCTGAACTTATTCACAAATGAGTGCTATTATTTTTTAATGGTTCATTTTTAGAAAATCTTTTCAAAAATATGTTTTACATCTGTTATCCTTGATTTATTTACTTCTATGAAATTTCCAGAATTTTTTTTTTTTTTTTGCAACGCGTAATGTTTTTATATTAGTTATAATTCCTTGGAGAATTTAAATGATGAAATTCTTTTGGCCAAATAGGATTCCCAGTTACAGAAAATTTTCCCTGAATCTGAAAATAAAAATGCAATAAAACTAAGGCATTATCTAATTAGAAATACTTAAAAATGTTTTTATGAATAGAATATTTATGGTCACGTCTTATGAAAAAATATTCGATGAATAATGAATTAAGAATAGTTGTCATTTTTAAACAATTTTAATTAGATTAATCTATAAACATTCAAATGATTTTTGTATTAATTTGTATTGCATTAAAAACTTTTTTATTTTATTATTGGCTGACGTTGTCTCACGTATGTCAATAAGAACGATCGGACTCCTTACCATGTCGGAATTTTTTTTTTGCAATGTCAAGGTGTGTAGTACGACGCTTTCAAGGAGGTGGCCTGACTCATCGGGAGTCAGGTCGGGGTTGCTGTTTGAGCTGATATAATGCAAAACCCGAAATCAGCGATAAGGACAGTGCATCACTGAAGACCTCCCTTGATGCATCTAAAATGTATTATGCAACTTTCGGTTAATTAATATTGTTATCAAATAAAAATTATATTTAATAATCATAAATGGAAAAGTATTTATTTTAAAAAATTGAATATATTTATTTTGGCAATTTTCTAACATTTCATCAGCAAGCGTTTTCGAAAGTAAGGATATCAACCCAAAGTGCCTAAAATTCAATAAAATATTAAAATGCTTAAAATGTTTTACATTTTTGAGAACACTGGGTAGTTAAACAAATTATATAAAAAGGCGTTTACGTTGTATTCTTCATGTAACCTTATTTCAATTATCTACTTCTTACTTAAATTTCCCAAACATTAGGCTCTCAATGCATCATTTAAACACATAAAAAACACCCACCTCTGCATTTATTTTGAACTAAAAGTAATATTTCTTTCAATTCAGGGTATTAATTTCTCGCAAATAACATTTCAGAAAAAAAAAATTCTGAAATATTTTTAAATGAAAAGAAATATATTGTGTTGACAGATTTGTCAATATGGACGAATTTATAGTTTTTACTGATAATCAGAAAAAATGTCTCCAATCAATTTAAATTCGGTTTGAAATACAGCAATTTTGCTTTTCTCAAAATATTAGACTTAATACATTAGCTTGTAACTAAAACTAAAATAAAGTCTTCAAGAAAGATGATTCATCTTGTAAAATGCAACTTCTAAAATACATCTTGTAAAATTCATGCATCTTCTGAAAAACCTTACGTATAATTTTTTTTGAGGTACCTGCATAAAGTTGAAAATAATGAAAGGGGAGTATGAATGTTTAATCAAGAGATGTGAACATGAACTTGAACTTGGGTAATTTAATATTCGAGGTTATTAATATATATATATATATATATATATATATAAATAACCTGTTACTGTGTGTGTGTGTATGTATGTATGATTAATACAGTTATAAAATTTTTCACTCAACTCATGGATCCTACCATAAGCATCCAGACTCTTTCATAGATGAACACTTCAGCAATCGCTCCGTCCACTCGTCAGGGGATATCATCAATTGTCTTTTTATTTTCACGTTTTTCTTTTATATTGTGTTGAATATATATATATATATATATATATATATATATATATATATATATATATATGTGTGTGTGTGTTTGGTTTGTTAAACAAGGCCTATAAATTATTATGTTTTTTGTATGCGGAGCGGTGCTTTTTTTTTATTAAAAAAACAAGAAAAAATATAATGAAACAATTTGACAACATACCTTGTCATTCTTTCTTAACGAAAAGAAGGATATATATAAATAAGGTGGCATATTTTTAAACATGTAAATACATTTGTACTTTTTGCGAATTATTTTGAATAAAGTGTTTTCTGAATTTTAATATTGTCTAGTTCTTCATTTCCAGAACAGAATTAAAATATTCATAATTATAATAATGACGCTTTTAGGATCCGTAAATAGCGTAATCGGTCTGAAAAAGTAGAATCGACGAGCTCAATTCAAATTTGGGTCAAATCGGTTGCTTTTCTCTTTTGAATGTGATACCGTTCAGAAGACTCGGGCGAGGAGCCGTTTTGTTCGCCGGCCGACGCGCCGATAGCGACGGGTTGGCACCGCGAGCGGAGACCCGTAGCGCATACCCTTCAGAAAGCCATGAGTATAACTGAATAGACTGGGCTCTTTAGACTTGTGGCGGCAATTCAAGATTGACTGGTTTTGTTTTTTTACATCTTCAACTGTTACAGATTATTTAAAGCTAGAAAATATATTTAGATTGTAAGAATTTTTTGGAGATAATAATTTACTGATACAAGTCCTACTAATTCACTCCATAGATTGGCGAAGAAAAGATGGATTTATATCTTTCTCAAAGATATTTGCACATAAGTGAATATAATAAATTCGACTGAAATTATACCACCTGCCCATTCGAACTAAAAGCACTTAGTATTTCCAAGCGATCACCAATTTTGGTACTGACCAGATTCAATGTTGCTTAACTTCGGTGATCATATGGGCATCGGTGTTTTAACGTGACCGTAATCTTACCAGTCTAAGAAAAGGAAAGTCTTGGAACTGCAAAGCGTAGGGAAAATAATGGAAAATATCACCATTCTCTCCCCAAGAATTCATCGCTAATCACAGACAATAAATGCAAAGATTATATCAGTTCGATTCTGTGGCAGTGAATCCTGGACAATCTCCTCACAGATGAAGAATTGACTTGAAGCAACAGAAATGTGGTTCTACAGAAGGATGCTGAGAATACCATGAATCGAATATTTTAGAGAAAATTGAAGCAAAATGGACGCTTATACTTAACATCAGAAACAGTTGACATTTCTAGGGCGCATAAGGAGGAAAGAAGGTTTGGAAAAATTGATACTCACAGGACAGTTTAAAGGCAAGAGGGACGAAGGAAAACAACGCATAACCTACCCAGCGAACCTGAATAAATGGATGGTAGGACAGAGTTTAGGAGAGATGATAAAATTTATTAAGAGCTACAAAGAACAGGAAATTGTGGAGAGCTATGAACACCAACGTCCTGAAGGAACATGGCACATAAAAGAAAGTTTAGAGTTATGATCGCCTATATGCTGAAAAGGCATGGCATTTAAAATATTTTGTATCGTTAATCAGCTTGAGTCAGTTTCGCTATTCTTCTCCGACCTCTTTCATTAACAAGGGATTTCCACCCACAGAATTCCCGCTGTCTTGATTT